CCAGCCATTTTGGCTCAATCGTCCGCTGGTTCTTGCCGGATCGGGTCAGCTCAGGCACTCCGTCCGAGCAGACGCACCACCACACGATGTCGGCCGAAGATGCGGAGAGCGCCGCGAAGAAGAGGAAGGTCGAGGGCGGGGCCGACGCGGAGATGGAGGAGCCCAAGGAACTCGAGGCCAATGCCCCGAAAGAGACCAGGAAGCAGATCACGGACATCGAAGAAGAAAAACAGCATGGGCATAAATGTTCGACGGTCCGTGCGGAGTTCTTGGATCGGCGTTGGGACCCCCTTGGGGGCGCCCCCGGCGCCGCCCCTGCCGCGCTCCGCGCGCCATGGAGGGGGGTCCCAGCGCCGATCCAAGAAATCCGTGCGGAGCTCACAAGGTTGATGGCTCTGCGGCATTTCGTTTCTCTAGGACACCGTGTATGTCGACCCGGCCAACACGACGCTGAACGTAATCCCCGTGCTCGGCGGCCGCGTGCTGACGCCCCTAACGGACGGCGGCCTCCAGTACTTGGTCGCTGGGGCACGAGCCAACGTGGGCATCACCAAGGGCCGCTACTTCTTCGAGGTCAAAGTCGCAGAGAACAAGCACCCGGCGGAGCCGCCGCGCGGGAACTGGGGGCCGAAGCCAGCGCAGATGGTGAAGATCGGCTTCTCGACGGAGGGTTCGTCGCTGTTCCTCGGAGACGGCGGCGAGAGCGTGTGCTTCGACTCGGAGGGCAACTTCACCGCCGACGGGGCGAAGCAGGACGGCGTCTCGAAGCCGTTCGGGAAGGACGACGTGATCGGGATCGTCCTCAATTTGGACGCCAAGAGCCCGAACGCGAACACCGTCAGCGTCTTCAAGGGTGGGGAGCGCGTCTCCCAGCCTCAGAAGATCCCGGATGCGCTCAAGGGCAAGTGCTTATACCCGCATGTCAATTTCAAGAACGTGACCGTCAACGTCAATTTCGGCCCTGCTCCGATGGCTCCTTTGCCTTTCACCTGCCAGATGATTTCGCAAGCGGCAGTGGTGGACAGCAAGGTGCAGAAGATACCAACCAAAGCTGGTGGCCCGTACGAAGTCTTGTTGCCAGTGGGTATCCCAGATGAGGGTAGCTTTGATTGGTTGGACTCTTTCCTGGAAAAGAATCCCAAATACGTCGAACTCAGCGACCGAAAAATCATTGAGTGGGCAGAGAAGAGCGGCGTTTGGAGGGACAAGCGCGTAAGCTACAAGCACAGCAACGACAAGCCAGATATGAATTTCGGAGTCCAGTGGCTCGACGATCTGAGCGTGCAGAGGGTGATCAAGTCCATCGCGGCATTGCAGCCGCGGGACTACGTCGTGATGGAGGTGAAGGCAAACTTGGTAAAAGAAGAACGGGCCGCATGTCTCAAGCGCTTCTTTGCCCAGCACTACAAAAAGGTGGCAGTGGTGGTGATGGGGGACCCGCCAGCAGACTTCAAGGCGAAGACGCAGGCAGCATTGCTTCAGGAGAAGCAGGCGCAGGCGGAGGCGGCGTGGAAGCTGAGGGTGGAGGCCCTCGCCAGGAAGAAGGAGCTGAAAGCGAAGATAAAGGCAGCTGAGGAGGCCCGGAAGAAGGCAGAGGAAGAGGCGAAGAAGCAGGCAGAGGAGGCGAAGAAGCAGGCAGAGGATGAGGCCAAAGCAAAAGAGGAGGCTGAACCCGCAAAGAAGGACGAGGAGAGCGCGAAGGAGGAGCCCAAGGATGCGGAGATGAAGCAGGAGGAGGAGGTCAAGGCGGAAGTCAAAGAGGAGGAGGTCAAGGAGGAGGTCAAGGAGGAGGTCAAGGAGGAGAGCAAGGAAGAGGAAGAGGAAGAGGAGGAGAAGGAGCCACCAAAAGTTGAGTTGACTGCCGAAGAGAAGGCTTCGAATTTCGTCAAGAAATCAACGCCTGACATCGCAACGTTCATTCTCAGCTCGAACTTCGTAAAGTTCTCCCTGCCAGCCAAGGAGGAGGGATTCGACGAGGTCCGCTACGATTGGCAAGGCGAGAAGGATAGCGCAGACGCCTTCGGCGCCTGGGTTCGCAAGCAGAAGCTGATGTGCCGCATCGAGGACATCCAGCCTGGAGAGAAGTTCAAGGCCAAGCTCGACGAGTGGCAGACTGCACTGCAGGGCTGGCACGCGAAGGTGAACGAATGGAAGGCAGGGGAGCCCGCGAGGCAGGCCGACGCGCTGGCGAAGAAGCGCAAGGAGGAGCTGAAAGCGGCGGAGGAGGCAAAGAAGGCCGAGGGCGACGCCGCGGCAGCCGAGAAGCCGGACGGCGCGGAGGGAGGCGGCGAGGACAAAGCGAAGGCCGGGGCGGGGCCGAAGTGGGGACATACGGTCGGGAATTTTGGTTTAGCGTGTCACGCCGCCAGTTCTGCCCCACCACGCTTCGGCGCGATGCGCTATCCACGTCCCAGTCCACGAGCGTCAACGTCCCGAGCTGTTCCCAGCCTGGCGCCCAGCGGAGCGGAGCGACCCGCGACCCGCTCGAGCAAAAGTTCTTGACCGTAAATCGGGTCCAGGATCGGGACATCTCGCACCAGAGTGTTCCAGAAAGCTTCCAGAGCGTTCCAGAACGCTCCGAGAAGGCCGCGATTCCACATGCAGCCCTCAGAATCGCCGAATCTCAGAGATTCCCGATTTGTCCCGATCCGATGGCGTCCCGATCTGGCCTCCGTTCTACGACGACACCAGCGGGACGAGGGTTGACAGCTGTGCCTGCCATGGTCGTGAGAGCATGCGGCAGGGTCACGCCGTGCCGGTTTCGCAGCAGCCCGAGTGCCCGCGCTCGAGGCTGAGCGCCGCTGTCAGAATCAGCCGATGGCGAACGATCTGCGCCGTTGGAGGCCCAGGCCTCCGACCATACAGTCAGCGCGCATGGTAAGGATGGGCAGCCTTCCCAAGGGCACCCTTGCATCCTTGCCTCCTCGGCCCATCCTTCGGCACTGTCGTTGGCCGCGCCCCGCTCGAAAAGTCTCGAGATGGCCCTCCAAGGCCCTTGCATCCCTATCGTGCATCCTATGATACGGGCCGCCTGCATTGTTTTCCAATTCGCGGCCCCAGAGGTCCAGAGGTCCCAACCCCGCGCCCATGTCGGTACACCCCGAACGCCTCGTGGCCTCGTAGGGAGCTCCACCGGAAGCAGTAACCCCACAGCGCGGTGCTCACAAGTGCACATGGCGGGATCCTTCGGCAAGAGAATTGTTCAATGCGCGGCCCCAGTTGTCCCAGCCGCTTCCCCTGGGTGTGGATTCCCCTCCCCGGCTCCAATCTTGATGGTCCCGGCCAACATCCAACCCTGATGGTCCCCGCCCGCTGTCGCGCTCCGGGACCCCCCGGGCGCGAGGACGGGCCCCGGAGGCCCCAGCCTGGGAGAAGCGCCCGGATTGGAGCACGGATCGTCGGAGATTCGGGAAGCCGCGGTCCGTCGAGGTCGAGCGGCCCCACGGCGGCGGCAGTAGCCGGCCCCGACGCCGTCGCGGCGTGGCCTCCCGCCGCGGGGGGGCCACCCGCAGGGGGCCTGCGCAGGCGGCCGCGCCCGTCGCGGCCTGGGCCAGAGGGAGCTTCGCTCCGCGGAGGCCGCTCGGGAGCGCGGACACGCTCGCGCCTCGCGGAGCTTCCGGCTGCGGCGTCGTTCCACGAAGCGACAGGATCCGCTCTCCTGGTCGCGCTGAAGACGACGTGTCGAGAAGCCCGCTTCCGGGCCTTGGACGCCGTGTTCACAAAAACCTTGACGACCGTGCCAAAGAGCACCACGAGATCAGGCTGCGGCGTTCCACAAGGGGCGCGATCCCCACAAGTCGGCTGGCGTAGACTCGTTAAGGCCCTCAGGGAGATCCGAAGGAGTCGGCATCTCTTCCTAGGCGGGAGGCTGGCGGAAGCCGGCGGAATCGAAATGAATCCACGCGAAGACCCAACCAGATGCAGTTATGAGTACCGCGGTTGTAAGTATCGTCTTCGGTGGAGCTCCCCGTGGGGCCACGAAATGTGTGAGGGTTGTGCCGAAAGGGCGTGACGCCACAATGTGAACGTGGCCTCTGCTGCTTTAGGTACAGCTCCCTATGGGGCCACGAAGCTTCCCACCGATACCCCGCGCCGAGCCCCCACCACGGCCCGGCATCCTCACCCATTGAAAGCTTAGTTTTTGGGCCCCCCACGCAACTATTTCTGGCCCGCATCCCACCGATACGAGGAGTGTGCCGCAACGGGCGTGAAGCCCACATGTGGACGGTGCCTCTGAGACTTGTGATTGAGATTCCCATTGGATCACGAAACGTGTAAGGAGGTGCCGGCACGGGTGTGATGCCACCATGTGGACGGTGCTTCTAGGGCGTTCGGTGGAACCTCTTGTGGGGCCACGAAACGTATGAGGGGTGCGCCGCAACGGGAGTGACGGCACCATGTGGACGGTGCCACTAGTGCCTTAGGTGGGGCTCCGTATGGGACCACGGAACGTGTGAGGGGTGCCCCGAAACGCGTGTGACACCACAATGTGGACGGTGCCTCTCTGGCTTTCGTTGGAGCTTCCTGTGGGTCCACGAAACGTATGAGGAGCGTGCCGAAATGGAATCGCAGAGGGCAGAGGCAAGGATGAGAGGAGGGAGGAGGGGTCAGCGGGAGGAGGAGTGAGACGCGGGGCGCTGTCCTTTCAAAACGACGACCCAAGACCACAGGATAGTTTGGAACATAATCGTGTCCAGAAGGTGACCTGTGTGTTGGATTCGGGGTATCTGGAACCCGCCGTTATCCGACGAATGAGGACGATGCTTGACAGCAGTTCCTCTCCATTCTGAGGGGGCGCTGACGGTGTCACTGCGAACCTTGTCCGCCCAAGCTCTGTCTGATCAGACGCAGTGTCGTCTGCCGGCTTGTTGCCAGTGTCGCCTGATCAGACGCAGTCCTTGCCGATGTCGGAAAGCATATGTTTTTGGGCATAGTCCCTCTCGATGTTGTCCCTTTGCGGACGCTCAATAAGGGCGGTGAGGCCAAAGAAGGCGATTCTAAGGAGGGCGAGGCTAAGGAAGCTGAGAGCGAAGCAAAGGAGAGTGAGGCGAAGGAGGGCGATGCCAAGGATGATGAGGCCAAGAAGCAGGAGGAGGAGGCTACCAAAGAGGAGCCGAAGGAGATCGTGGATGTATTCGCTGTGGAGAACATCACCGACGTCGGTGGTGGGAAGCCCTTGTTCTCTGAGTTCGGTTTTGAGGACTGGGCTCTGTTGAGCTTGCGGGTGGATCTGTACCTGTTGCTGCAGGGCTTCAAGACCGACGCCACCAGCGCGGACCCGGAGCGGATCGGCATCCACGAGCAGCACCTCCCATTCTACTACAACAAGTACCTCAGAAAGACCTTCAACGTCCGGTACTACGGCAAGGAGACCAACAAGGACCTGCTGGAGCTGGTGAAGGACACCGTCGCCGTCAGCGCGGCCAACTCCGTCCTGGAGGCCCAGCTTGCGAGCGAGCCCGAGAACTTCGACATGTTCGTGAAGCTCACGGAGGACGCCCGCAGGGAGCGCCAGCGCCGCCTGGACGCCGGGGACGAGACCGCTCGCCTGAAGTTCAGCCAGCCGGAGCAGGAGCGCGGCTACAAGGGCGGCCAGCGGCACTGGGACGGCGGCAACAGGGGGGACAGCAAGGTCGGCGGCGCAAGAGAAGAGGAGCGGTCCTCCTGCTACAGCCGGGAGCTTTTGGGGAAGCGTGTCGCGCCGCCGGTTCTGGCCCACCGCGCGTCGGCGCCGCACGCCACCCACGTCGCGGTCCACGAGCGTGCACGTGCCGAGCCTCTCTTTGCCTCCCGCCCCGCGGAGCGGAGCGACACGCCATCCGCACGCAGAGGATCGCGTGTCGCCGGGGCCGCCGCGGCGACACACTGCGCAAATGCTCCCAACCGCAGAAGGATGGGCCAGGATTCGGCCACGCGGGGAGGGGGGCAGGGGGAGCGGACAAGGCTTCTTAGAAGCACCCCTGCTTCTCAGAGGGCGCGGGCCCTGTCTGTAGATGTAAGGCCCGCGCCTTCGTCCTTTCTATGAAGCCGTCCCACCTCCCCCGAACTCCTCTCGTGCGCGCCGCCAGAGGATGGACCCAGGGAAGGGCCCGGGGGCCCGGTTCGAGTGGATGCGTGTCGGAAACGGGGCGTCGAGGAAGGGGGCGACGAGGAGGGAGGGCAGCCTCTCCAAGAGGGCACCCCCGAGAGGCCCTCCCCGGAAGCTTTCGCAGAGGGTGGGCAGGGCGCCGCCGAGAGGCCCCCGCGCCCTCTCGGAGAGGGCCGCGCCCCGGTCCCCCCGCGCGGCCCCCCCGCGCGCGCGCGCGCCAACCCCCGAGGGCTACAGCAAGGGCAAGGGCAAGAAGGGGGACAGCAAGGGCTACCAGCCCTACAACGCCGGGGGCAAGGGCGGCGGGTATAACGCTCCGCCCGCCGGCGGCAAGGGCTACACGCCGCAGCCGGGGGGCTACCAGCAGCAGGGCCACCGGCAGCAGGGGTCGTACCAGCAGCAGGGGTCGTACCAGCAGCAGGGCTACCGGCGCTACTAGGGCCGCAACCACAGCGTTGCTGGCGGCAAGACTTCGGATCCGGAGCGGGTGCCTTTTGTGCCGTCATCGCTTGACCTCTGACTCGTGGAGCTTGATGCTGTGAATTGTTCGCCGTCAAGTTCCCTCTCTTTGTTCTCTATGTCCCCCTCTCTCTCAATATGGTTATCTTCATGTGTCTCTCTCTATATATAATTATATATTTATATACATATATATATATATATATATATATATTGATATCTATATATATATATATACACACATAGATATATGTATATATATATATATATATAGATGTGTGTGCATCTCTCCTTTTGACGGTGTTCGCGGGGACCTTCTGCCTGGGGTGCCACCTGCGCTCAAGGGTGGCTTTCCCATGCTGCTGTGCTGGTGTCCGCCGCATCTCTTCCCCGGTCCCCTTTTTGTCCCCAGATCTGGGTGGCCTGGTATTCCCCCCCCCCCGGCCGCCGTGTTTGTCTTTTCCCCGCGCCTGCACGCTGGCCAATGTCGCTTCTCGGTGCCCCCGTATAGCTACATCGCTGGTGCAGCCAACTCTGCATCGCCGCCGACGAAGAGGTTGCTGTGTTATGTGCGGGTCGCTCACTGATGGCCCAGTGGCCCCGAAGTCGGCGCCCCTCTGGACTTAAGGAGGGCGCCTGCAGCGAGCTGTTCCAGGCGCCCAGAGGTCTGGGCCCTCGCCTCCCCCAGGGCCCCAGAGGCCAGGACGCTGCAAACCTTCAGTCGGGCGTGTTCCTCTACAGGAGGAAAGTTCGTAAATAGTCGAAAAATAGTATGGGGACGATGTTTTGATTATATTTTGCTATGGTAAAATATGTTTGACTATGTTTCCAACATTTCCTCCACAATTCGCCTGCAGGAGGACTCCAGGGAGAGATGCCAGTGGCCGTTTCGTTTGGGTCTCGAGGGAGGTGCCATCCGCTCCGCAGAAATCACCGAGCGCGTTCCACTACTGGCAAAGTGTCGGCTAGCAAACGTCAGGAAAAAAAACATGCCTTCCTCTATGGAGTGTATCGTAGATCCGCCGCGGCGGATCCAGGCCATTTGCGAGTAGTTTTGTTTGCGAGCAGTGGAACGCGCTTGTCCAAGACAGCACTTGTGCACCACCGCCCTCCACAGCCAGGGCCATCCTGCAAGGAAGGAAAACCACCCGGACCGGACAATTGGCGTTTACTAAACGGCCCTGGGCGTTTACTGAACAGCCCTGTCCTGTTTGATACCTTCTTCGGGCGCGTTTCCTAAGCGACTTCGCGTGCCGGGGTGGTTACTATGGGGGTGGATTGTTTTACGTTTAGTCCTGGGGCGCAGGACCCGAGGTGGTGCTTCATGACGGTCAGGAACTGCTGCTCGGCGTGTCGCGCCGTCGGCTCTGGCCCACCGCGCCTCGCCACGACGCGCTGAGCACGTCCCAGCTCCCAAGAGTCAGCGCCACAAGCTTGCCCAAGCATCCTGTCCCGCGGAACAGCTACACCCACCAGAAATCTTGAGAACAAAAACGCGCCAATTTCCGTGGACTCCAGGTGCCGTTCAGCAGAATCAGCCATCTGGACTGGACCCTGGGCGTTCTCTTGGAGCTGCTCTTCTTCGCAGACCGTTCGCAGATCTGGACCTGGACAAATTACGGGTTCAGAAGACGCTGGGAGGGAAGCCCAGTCAAAATGGGCTTCCCCCCCGAGCGTTTCTTCTCAAACCGAATTCGAGAAGTTTAGGTTTGAGAAAGCTTCTTGGCGTAAACTCCTCTTGGCGTATACGCGAGCAGCATGCAGGGCACAGCAGGTCGCAGGGGCCGCCGCCACACGACACGCGGAGCCCGAGCCCCTGGCCGCGGCGCCTCCTTTCGGCCCCCCCGGCCAGGACGGCGCCGGGTCGCCCCTGCGCAGGGCTCCGCTTCGACTCCGATTCGATTCGATTTCGATCTCGATGGCGATGGCTTCCGATTTCGATTCGATCCGACTCGGGAATCCGATGTGGGTCCGATTTCTCATTGGAGGCACACTGGCCTGCCGACTTCCGCCGATTCGACGTTTCCCGACTCGGCTGCCGAGTTCCGCCGATCCGATTCATCTCGAATTCGATGTCGATGGCTTCCGAACTTCTGGGCTCTCCTGCCCCTGTCAGGGCCGGGGCAGGGCGGAGGCGCCACAGGCCCAGGCGGCCGGCGACGTGCTGCTTTCGGCCCCCGGCCCCGAGGCCCAGGCCCCAGAAGTCCAACGCACTGAGACAGTCAAGGTGGAGGCTTTTCTCAGTGTTCGGCCTCTGGGGGACATCGCGGGGCCCAGGGGCCGTCAAAAGCCTAGTCAGGATGGAAGTCCGGCCTGGGGAAAATGGGTCGAGACTTCCGGGGGCCCCGCACTGAAAAAATACGACATCGGATCTCTGGGGCCCCCTCCCTGGAGGAGCAAGAGGTCACGAGAAGGATACGCGCCGAGAGATGCGGGACTCCCTGGATAGGTGCCCTGCTGTTCCACAGGGGGCTGCAGGACCGGTGGCCCCGCTGGATGCTTATGGGGGTCCTGCATCGCGTCCTGGGCCAATCGTATCATGACAGCATTCCCGTGCTGCCTCCACGTCCCTGGGGGCGGGGGGCAGCCCGCATGACCCGTCTCTGGCGGTCCCAGGGCCCCCCGGGCGGGCCCCCCCCCCCACCCACGAGCCTCAACCATCGAGGAAGAAGAGCGCCGCCGCTGAAAAGGGCCATCCGTGGGGCGTCCTGGGGGAGCCTGAGAAGGAGGAGGAGGAGGAGGAGGAGGAGGAGGAAAAGGAGGAGGAGAAGGAGGAGGAGGGGGCGGGGAAGGAGGAGGAGGAGGGAGGGAAGGAAGGAGGGAGGGAGGGAAGGAGGGAGGGAGGGAGGAAGGAAGGAGGGAGGGAGGGAGGGAGGAGGAGGGAGGGAGGGAGGAGGGAGGAGGAGGAGGAGGAGGAGGAGGAGGAGGAGGAGGAGGAGGAGGAGGGAGGAGGAGGAGCGAGGAGGAGGAGGAGGAGGAGGGCCTTCTAGGGGGAGGGGGCGAAGATGCCTGCGTGCAGCCGGGCTCGGCCCCGCCGCCCGGCGCTCTCCTCCACACACTGACGCCTCCCGCGCTGGGAGGCGGCGGGAGCACCGGCGGCACGCGGCGGGTTCGCTAGCCACCCAATCTCCTCCTCCTTCTCCTCCTCCTCCTCCTCCTCCTCCTCCTCCTCTTCCTCCTCGTCCTCTTCCTCTTCCTCCTCGTCCTCCTCCTCCTTCTCCTTTTCCGCCGCCATTTCCCATTGAGTGTGGCAGCTCTCTTCAGAGAGCCTTGTCGAAGTCGACTTCGAGCGGACACTTTCACCCCGGCGGTGGGCTCACGCCCGAGCGGCCGTCACTCTTGTTTTTCTTTCGCAGCCGCACTTTGCAGATGGCACGAGCGCTCTCCACAGACGAGATGCTTGACCTCATGATGACACGTTTGGACGGCATGGGCAGCACGCTCGAAGGAGTCGCCGCCCTCGTCAGGAAGGTTGACAACATTGTTGACACCGTGGAAAGACATGGGAAGCTCTTCGAGACCATCCAAGCCGACCTACTGGCCTTGCAGAAGAAGCTCAGCGAAAGCTACAGCGAGAGCAGCGCAGGAGGCAGTACATGGGGTGGTTTCTCTGCCGCTGGTGGGGAGCCTGGTGTGAAGCGTGCGCGCAATGCCCTTTTTTTCCTGCCCCTCCCGAGCGAGATCGGCCGAATGATGCATGCAAAGTTTGGATTGGAGGATTTCCCAGGAAGTTGCTGGGCAAGCAGTTCGAAGCCCACTGGAACGCCGCCAGGACTCTCATTAGCTCTTCTGCCGCTGCGGCTGCCATGCCAAAGTTTTTCAACCTGCAGTACGCGTACTCCGTGGTTTTCCAGTCTGCTTAGCAGGCCAAAAATTTCATTGTCCTTACCCGTCTGAATGACGCCAAGATGACTTGGAAGGACCCCCGCAATGGCGAATCAAAACTGCTTCGGGCGCGGCCAGACCAGACCATAGACGTCAGGCGCAAGCAGAAGGTGTTCGGCAAGTTGCGGGAGCCCATCCTCAAAGAAGTCGAGAAACGCGCCTTCTGGAGGGGGGGCTGCAGGCTCGGCGCCAACGGGCCCAGAGGCATTATTTTCGCCACCTCCGCGGACGACGTCTGGGACTTCCGCGCTCTGCAAGAAGCCCCTGGCGAAACTTTCACAATCATCCCGAACGAGGCCAACCTCGCCGAGTGGGCCATCGGCATCGGCAAGGCCAACGAGATCATCGCTGCCGTCGCGAGCGCCTAGGACGGGCGCCAGCAGGTCTGCAGTGAGCGTCGCGACGCCCGCTGCTGCAGTCAAGCCGGTCTTTTGTTTTGTACCGACGTCTGTCGGTCTTGTGCGCGCCCAGGCTCGCTCGAGAGTTCACCTCGTCAGCGCCCCCCCTCAGGAGCGCGGGAGACTGCCAGGAAACCCTGGCGTTTGTCGGGCAGCTCGCCCTCTGACTCCTCTTCCTCTCCCAGCTCTGAGTCACCTCCTGAAGATCGGAACTTCTTTCATGTTTTCTCTCTTTCGTCTACGCTCAGCATCTCCACGTGGAATGCCCATGCTCTGCACGACGCCGCTTCGGGAAATCACAGTCTCCAGAAACGGAAGCAAGCAAAATTACGCTATCTAGCCGAAAGACAGACCGTCTTATTCTTGCAGGAAAAACATTGAGACATTGGCGCCGATGAGACTCTGCGTCGCCGGCCCCCCCTGCATCGCGCTTTCACCACTTGCCATTCTAATCCCTTGGCAGGCGGGCGGGCCATCTTGATTCAGAACCAGCTCCTTCACAAATTTATGTTCGTCAAGCACTGGGCCCACCAAGAGGGCAGATGTCACGGGGCCCTCCTCTCCGGGCCTCAAGGGCGCGCGCAGATCATCAACATCCATCTTGACCCTGCCATGACTGCACGCAGAATGCGAGCTGTTCTTGCGAATGCTGCGCAGGCGCCGAGGTGGCCCAGGCTAGCGCCATCCTTGCTTGGAGGCGACTGAAATTTTTACGTACCCGGAGAGGCGCGGCAGTACCTTGACGGCAGATCGCGCGCAGGCAGTCTCTCCAGTTCCTACCACTTCGACTCTGTCTTCCAGGACAGATTTCCGC